TGCCTGTCCCAGCTGGGCAGTTTGGCTGAGGCCCTGGAAACCTCTTCCTGTTTTGCAGAAGGAGGGTCCCAGAGGGCAGATGCCTGCAGGCACTCCCTGAGCCAGGCTGGGGTCTACACGACAACCAGCATCCCCGGGCACTGTGCAAACTGCCAACCCGCTCCTGTATCCAAGAGAGGCAGGCGATGCTTTTATGAACACTGAGGGGGTGGACAGGCTCGGCCATGGTGGAAGCCTGGATAGCCCCTGCTGCAGGGACAGCAAGAGTGAGGCAGGCGGTCTCCCACAGTCCAGGGACCCACCGGCCATGGACACCTCCAGCAGCCAGGCTCTGGTGCAGTCTGAGACGCAGAAGGACGGAAGGACGCTCACCCCATCCGGTTCCCTGAAGGCCCCCGCCCCTCTCCACTTGGTGCCCAGTCTGTGGCCCAAAATCTATGGCCAAGGGGAGGGAAGTGCAATGCACAGAGCCTGACCAGAGACTGGGGTGCAGCAGCCGGGGGTCCCCAAGGACTGGCCCTGAGGCCTGGCCTCCTGTTGTGGTCCTCATGAAGCCCTCACTCATTGGACTCCTCCTCTCAGTGCTCCTGAGCTCGAGGGCTATGGAGACGGCGGCACAGGGCAGGGCGCTCTGTCCAGGCTAGTTTCCTTGGCAACGGCCACCAGGGCCTCCCTGGCAGGGTGCTCTGGCAGCCTCTGCTTACTCCTCTGTGAAATGGGCACAATCTAAGGTCCTTGAGGGGCCATCTCACAACTTCAGTGGCTAGTGCTCCAGCAGGCATTCTAGCCGTGGCTCTCTGTCCCTGTCACCCTTACTGTCCTCTTTCCAGCCATCGACACAGGACACGGGCTCAGCAACCATGTTTCCCCAGCATCCTCGGGAGCTGTGGTTCTGTAGTGAGGGATGGGGTGCCCCCCAGGCTGCTGGAGCTGAGGACAGCTGTGACTCAAGGTCTCCATATTCTGCAGGCCTCAGGGTGCCTTTATGTGGATCAAAAAGGGACCTCCTCCTCAGGTACCAAGACAGGACTGGCAAGGCGGGGGCGCCCCATCGGCCAGCTAATGACCTCCCTGTTCACTGATGAGGGTCAGCTGCCAACCGTGGCCCTGCAAGGCTGACCTTCACCTTGCTGCTCCAAAGACTGCATTAACCAGGGAGCCCAGTACATGCTTTGAACCCAAGTCCACACACCACTTGGTCAACAATTTTGCAAAATACTTGGGCAGCTGAGTGCTTGTTATGGTTTAGATCTAAAATATCTCTTTTTTTGAGACAGGATCTCACTCTGCAGTTCAGGCTGGCCTTGAGCTCACTTTGTAGCCCAGGCTGGTCTCAAACCCATAAAAATCCTCCTGCCTCAGCCTGCCTAGTGCTGGGATTACAGGCATGCACCACCACACCCAGCTAAAATATCTCTTTTGTTTTGAGGTACGGCCTGGCAGAAAGAGACAGATTGCTGCAGAGTGACGTGAAAGGGTGTGCAGTGATCCCTCACCTATCGCAGGAGTTATGTTCCAGACATCCCTACCATAGGTAAAAATCCGCAAAGTAGCCGAGTTATATTTATTTTATTATTTATATATATTTTAAGGCTTTATAAACCCTTCCCACACTCCTATAAGCCCTTCCCACTCTCTTATTAACCTTTCCCACACGCTTATAAACACTTCATATGCTCTTAAACACAAGGAGAGATGCTGAACATACGGGCACAAAGCAGGAGAGCAAACAGATGCTACAGTCACTGAGCTAATCAGCACCCAGGATACAGAACACAGTGCTGTGGTTGGTTGCCTTCCATTCCATCAGCCAATAGTGTTCCATGTACAATCTCACATTGGCAAACTTGCACAACCGGTAGTGGTGTACTGCATTTCCATTGTGTACAGTACGGTATTCATCCACTGATGAAATACATACTGTATTTTATTTCAATCTAATATTCTTCTAATAGGTTTGAATTAACATTTTTTTATATTGTTCTAAATTTTTAGGCAAAAATAATTAAAACCATAAATATTATATAAATACCTATATACTTCAAAATCCTGTGATATAGCAAAAACTCCAGGATACAGATTTAGATATTTTTTTTAAAAAACCTGCGATACAGTAAAGCTGCAGTAAGTGAACCACAATGTAGCGAGGGACGACTGTGTTCTTATCCTCGGCTCTTCCCCTCACTCTCTGCCTCTTGGCTGCCACGGGGTGAGCGGCTTGCTCTGCCACACCCTCCCTCCTTAGAGCCAGCCAGCCATGGACTGACCCCACCGAAACACGAGACAAACAAACCTCTCCTCCTTTAGGCTGTGGGCGCTGGGTACTTTGTTCAAGGACAGGAAAGTGTCTGTGACCGTCCTGGGCACCGGGTCTGAGAACTGAACATGGCTTAGTGGGGGCATCTGAACACTTTCACTGTGGTCGAGCCCTGAGACTAGCTCAGCCCCAGCTCAGTTCAGCTCCCCCAGCCTCGGCCTAGCCTCCTCCAAAGGCCTGAGGCTGTCACCCAGAAGCGACCCGGTGCCTCAGTGGGCCTGGGGAGAAGGTGGGTGCCGTGGAGACCCTGGCACCAGCAGCCGTCTCCATCCCAAGGGATGCTCTGCAAGACGTCAGCCACAGGGCCTCCTCCGTCAGGCCAGGGCAAGCTGACCACTGGAACTGTCCAGCTCATGGCCACCTCATGGGTTTCTTCCTTCAGGGGCTGTGACATCTGATGGCCAGAAGTGACCGGGCAAGGTGGGTCCCTGCCCGCTGAGGGCCTCAGTGCTGTCCCCTGTGTCACGGAGGCTGGGGAAGCACAGCCTGCCCTGGCTTTCTTCTGCCCCAAATCTTCCCACTGGCCAGCGCAGAGGGGTCAGGGGCCAGGAACAGCAGCCCGCTGGGAACGGGGTGGGAAGGCTCCCCAAGACCAGCGCTCGCCTGGGTAACCCACCACCTGCTGCTGCAGCTGGCCCCACCCTGGCTGTGTCCTAGTGGGGTCCAATGGGAAGAGAGTGTGAGCCAGCGCTCCCACCAGCCGTTCTAACCTGGAGATGTGCACCTCCTCCTCCGGAGCCTCAGTTTCCCTGTGACGGGGAGCACACGAACCTGCATCCTGGAGGGCCTTCGTGGGGCTCCAGAGCACCTGGCTGGGCAAATGACCACGCACAGACTCCACTTCCGGTCACACGCCACCCTGCATGGTGTCACTGCTTATAGGAAGATGCGGCCTGAGGGGGCCTCAACACCCAGAGATAGGTCTGGGGCACCTCCACTTCTGGGTGAGTAAACTGAGGCTCAGCAAGGTCACAGGATGAGGCCAAGGCCGAGGCAGACCTTGGGTCCAGCACACCCTGCAAGGCCTGGCCTGAGGGGCTGGACCGAGCTACCCCCCCAAGATGGTCTCATACACTCACACGCATGCATGCACACATGCACACACAGAATTACATACATGCAAGCAGCTGGCTTCTCAGAGAGACAGTGTTTCCTGGAACCCACTGCCATTTCTCCTGCAGTGAGGGAATAAACCTTCCACCTACTGTCCCTGACCAGCGGTGGTGACCTCCCCAGGTCCTCCTGGAACTCAGGACAGGCAGGACTTGAGTGGGAGGCAGCGCCATCTAGTGGCCAGCGGGGCCCAGGCAGCACTGGACAGACCCAGACTGGTGGGGCAGCTGAGCAGCCGCCCTCAGGGCACCTGGAAGCCAGCGCCTGTTTCTCTGAGCCACAGTCCTACAGAGCAGTTCTTTGGTGCCAAGAGGAAGTCTGTCCACAGCACAGCACCCAGAGGGGCCGTGCCGACAGGGACATCCTCCTGAGGGCCGGCAGGTTCACTGGCAGGTGCCCCACAGACAGAGGGCTGTGGCAGCCAGGTGCCCTGCACCCAGCCCCTGTCCGGTTCCAGGAGAGGAGAGGCCGGATGTGGGCTCTAGGGCCCAAGGTTCTGTGCATGTGTGTGCCCGGGTGTGTACAGATGGTGTGCCTGTGTGCACACATCCATGGGTGCGTTAGCATGCATAGCTGTGCACACGCATGTGTGTGCTTGTATACCTGAACACACCATGTGGTGTATGTTTATGTTTCTGGGCACCTGTGTACACATGTGCTGTGTGTGCACACGGGTGTGGGTGCCTGAGCAGCTCCAAATGGGAAGTGGGTGCTCCAGCCCGTGAAGACCGGCGCGTTGCCCACCACGGACCAGCTGGGGCCCCAAGGGAGCACTGGACCCACAAATGTGGCTCCTGGCCCCAGGCTGGACTTGACGCATGCGGGGCCAGCTAAGCCCGTGTGCCTTGCCACCCTGAGCTGGACACCGACGCCCCTGGGCATCGAGTCAGCAGGAAAGCTGGTGCTGCCCTCTTCCAGGAACTGGCGCTGGTGCTCAGCCCTCTCCTGCGGGTGGGCGCCTCTCCTGCTGCAGTGTCGTTCCCAGCCTTCAGACACCTGCAGCTTTCTGTCATCAAAAGGAGAAAAATCTACACTTCACGTTCTCCTTCCACTCCTGTCCCTTCCCCTCCCATGTGAGCAATCGCACAGTGTTACAGGGGAAGCAGCCACCGGCCCTGGTCCGAGTCCCCTCGGGGCCTGGGGCTGCGGTCTTCCCTGTGGTGGCAAGAGGAGGGGCCCGGTGCCTCCGTCCATGCTGACGACCCTGCAAACACAGGCGGCTCCGGGCCCCAGAGCCTCCCTGAGGTCACCACTGCCCACAGAGGGACCTGGTGGCCAGCACATGCCCAGGATCCTGCGCTCCTTCCCCGAAATTTGGCCTCTTAAAGAGATGATGCTTGAGAGGATTCGAGCTTGCGTTCTAGAACACGCCTTGTACTGATTGTGTAAATAAAGCTAAAATGACAAAAAAAAATTGGAAGCATCGGCGGCACCCACTGTCCCCGTTTCTCACCTCCCACCGGCTCCACAGCCCACTCCAATCTGGCATCCAGACCCAACGTGCTCCCACCGCGCCCGCGCCCGCCCGCGCCCCCGGACCACCACAGCCGGAAGCCTCTCCCCGGCTCACCCCCACAGCTCCGAGAGAGCCCTGGCCCTTCCTTGCTCCGCTGAGGGTGTGGTGGTGACGCCCGCCGAGACCAAGCACCCAAGGATGTCACCATAAAGGAGGAGATGCTCTGCTGGCTCAGTGCTCTCAGCCCAGGTCCCCAGGCTCCAGTTGGTCCAGGTGAGGGAGACACTGTAGCAGGGAGCACGTGGGGGTGCGGGGCACAGCTGCTTGCATCGGGGTGGCCAGGGTGTGGGGAGACAGGGACAGGGGCAGGGACAGGGACAGGGACAGGGGCAGGGACAGGGACAGGGGCAGGGACAGAGACGGAGACGGAGATGGAGGTGGAGACGGAGACGGAGACGGAGACAGACACACAGGGACAGGGACGGAGCGGAAAGGGACCGGAGACCGGACGCACCCTGCACAGGCACACCCCGTGACCGACTTCCTCCAACCACACCCACCGCTGAGAGCCTCCACCCCATCCCGAGTCCCTGCAGCCAACCACCACCAGTGGATGAGCCCTCTAGCGAGATCAGCCCCCTGGGCCCTGTCACCTCCAAAGCCCCGCCTCTAGACCCTGCTACGTTAGGCTCCTCTGGCACGGAGCCTGGGGAGTACATGTCAGACCAAAACCCTAACACAGGCTGGGTGACATCCCAGGGGCTGCCGGGCCCCTCCTCCTCTCCCAGTGTCTCCTGCCTGGCCTCAGCGCCCATCCTGGGCCATCCACAGAGGACGGAGCAGGACATCCCCAGCTCTCCTGCATAGCAGCCCTCGCCAGAGCCACCCTGCCTCCAGGTCCCTGCACCTGCCTGCCCACCCCCACCCCTTCTCCGGCCCCCCAAACCCCAGGGACCTTTGTCCCTGTGTTTGCCGCCCCTCCCCTCCGCCAGCGGGCTCCATGCATTTCCCAGGCCTGGAGGACTTCCCCAGCCGAGGCCAGGATCCTTCCAAGGGCTCAGCAGCAGATGCCACCCTGGAGCGGCCCCAGCAGTTCCTGCTCCCCCGTGGAGCGGACCACTTCCCACCCGTGGGGTGCTCTGTGCTGGATGAGACACGACCAGAGAAGGTGGCCAGGGGACTCGGGCGCCAGGTCGGGAGGTTGAGACCTGCCCGGGCAGCAAGATGCAGCCAGTGCCCTGGGCCACTATCCCTCCACAGTCCCAGCACCCCAGGACTGAGGACCCCCAATTCCTGCTACGGGGAGGAGCAGGAAGAGGGCGGTGGCCCCAGCAGTCTCACATTTTGCTCAGCAAACAGCCTCCAACTGTCGTCACCTTTGCTGAGTTACTTGTGGGGAGGGCACTGGGGATTGAACCCAGGGCCTTTGCACTGAGCTACATTCCCAACCCCTGTCTTAGTTTTTTAGTCTAGAGACAGGGTCTCACTAATTTGTTAAGTTGCCCAGCCTGGGCTCAAACTTGTAATCCTCCTGCCTCAGCCTTTTAGAGTGTTGGGACTATAGGTGTGTCCCACCACATCTGGCTATTGAGTTACTTTTAAATCACCCTTCATCCTCTACAGTGTCTGATCCACGTAGGCAAGTAGTTGGGGGTCCTGTACCAAGTAGACAATAAATGTTTGTTGAATGACTGAAGGAAAGTTGGAAAGGCCAGGGGATCATCAAGGCTCAAGGACAAATCTCCACTGGGCTTGGCAAGATGGGGCTCTTGAAACAAGATGGGGTTTCGTGGGGTGAGCCTTTGAAGCACCACACCTTCTCCAAACATGGCCAGAGCCTGCCTGCTGAGTTCCAGGATGTGGCCACCCACACTGATCCTGTTCCCAGGCGGCCCTGAGGGTCCCCAGTACAGAAACCTCTGATAGTTCCTAGCCAGGCAGCTTCATCAGAGGAGCATCCCCCGAACGCCTGATCCCAGGGTTGCTGATCAGGACCCAGGCTGGGGGTTCCTTAGGCCTCTTATCACCATGGGTCCCTGGGCTAAAAACCACAGAAGGGGAAACTGAGGCCTGATCAGGAGGGCCTGCCACTTGGAAGCATTTCTGCTGATTTCTGCCTCATGCCAGCCTAGCCCAGGTCTCCCAACAGCCTGCTCTGGCCTGGGCCTGGGCCTAACTCTTTTCAGATGCTGGGGTGCTGGAGCAAACCCTGCTGCTGCCACGCTGGGTTTCAGGAGGGCCCAAGTTCCGAGCCCAAGACCGCCAGGATGCCTTTCTCCGCTGTGGGTCCCAGGAGCCCCAGCAGCAAGGTTTGCAAAGTGCTTGAGTCCCACTCAACCTATGCAACCATCATTCAGGGCCAGGTCTCTTAGCCCAGTCTTAGAGAAGACGCCCAGGGGAATTGGGAGGCCCAGGGCACAGGGGAGCTGGGCTTTCCTAGGCTCCCAGGGGCCACTCTGAGGGTGGCCTGGGCTGCAGCTGCTTTTCCTGCCAAGGAAAGGGGTGGAGGAACAGCCAACCCCTCCCACCCGCATCAGCTCCGAGAGTGTGCGCAGGTGTTCCTGCAGCTGCGGGGACCGGCTGCTGGAAGCCCAAGCATGCTGGGAGCCGTGCCTTCTGCAGAGTGTGTCGGCCCAAAGATTCAGGGAGATGGCAGAAAGTCCAGCTGCGCCCACCACCCCTGCAGGCGACAGCCAGGGTCAGGGCTGCCCGGGGCTTGGGCTGAAGCCAGGGTCAGGGCAGTCTGGGACTGTGATAAGGACTTAGTCCAGAGATCAGGGCTCAGCTAGAGGTTGGATCAGGGCTCATCCTGGAGGAGGGATCAGGGCTCAGCCTGAAGAGGGATTAGGACTCACCCTGGAGGAAACATCAGGCCCCAGTCTGGAGGGACGATGGGGCTCCATCTAGCACTGGGCGACAAAGCAAGAGCCACTGGATGACCAAGCAGAGGAATCCCTTCCAGCAACAGCCTGGGCCATAACTCACGTGACCCTCCGCTGTGCTGGGAGCAGAAGATTTCCCAACAGCTGCGCGATGCAATCCCCCATAAAGCCATAAAGCAGCGACTGACTTTGAAATGGTCCTTTCTCCGCCTATATCTTTGGACATAAATTTAAATAAAATGGCAATTTAAATGCTTGTGACACCAAGGGGGTGGCATGGGCTGTCTCTGCAGGCTGCGTAGGGAGACAGACGTGGCCCTAAACCCACCATCCTGAGCCACGCAGGCGGAGGTCGGCGCTGGGGCAGCGGGGAGGGCCAGCAGCCCTTGCAGGTGAGAGGGTGCCACCTTCCCCTCGGAGCGCCCAGCTGTCACCCTACAGCAGGGGCTTTAGTGATCCAGCCTCAGCCTTCGCCTCTGGGAAAGCGGGGCCGTATATAATGTCCACTGGGGACACGCCCCGTGGGACTCGCAAGGCTGGATGCTGGCCTCCTGTAAACTCTCATAAATGCCCTGCGCCTCTGCTGCCATGGCAGGAGCCCACAGGGAGCTGTAATCCACTGATACGCCTTAGGCCAGGGTGGCAGCAGCTCTCAAATCAGCGTAAGCCTCCACCAGCCAGTACCTGGCCCAAGCCAGGTTCTGATTCAGCACAACCAGCATTTCCTGCAAATCCGGGGGCTGCTGAGGCTGCTGCCCCCAGGGACCTCACAGTGAGACCCCGGAGCTGGAGCAAGCTCGCCAGGCCGTGTGACTACACACAGGAAACCCCTGCATTCTGCGAGATTTAAGCCAGAAGTGGCTGAGGGCTCCCTGCTGTGGGAGAGTGGCCATGCCTCTGCCCACCCCAGCCCCTCAGAACCCATTTTGGGGCACCTCCTACGTTACTCACCTGGCCTTGAGCTCCCACCTGGCCTCAGTCCTGCATTGTGTTCCCATGGGACCAGGAGAGTAGCCCCAGGGCCAGCTGCCCACATCCCTCAGGAAGGTCTCAGGCACTCCCCATATGGGTAGTTGGGGCACCCAAACCCCAATCCTGTCTTCACACTCCCGCATTCCCGGGTCCAGTGTGTGGACCAGGACCTGGGGTCCTCAGTCCAACCTGGGGACCGGCCAATGCCCCTCAAGCTGCTTCCTGCTGGACAGCCCGGCCCCTGCTACATCTCCAGAGTATGGACCAGGGAAGGCCACTGGGCGACTGGGGTGGGCACTGGCAGCTTCATGGGTGGCCTTTGCTGGGCTCTGCAGCCTGGTACAACCCTTTCTGAGCAAAGGAGGCAGGCACAGCAATGGCTTCTGGAGGGGACCCCAGCCAGGGACAACATTCACAGGTGCATGCCCAGGGGTGTGTGTTGACGGGTGTGTGTTTACAGGTGCCCAGGGTGTAGGAGGAAAGGGTTTTGGGACCAGTGCCTTGGCTCACCGGTCATTGGTAAGGGACCGATGGGACCAAGAACCCAGTCTGCGGCCAGAGTGAGGGGTGAGGACCAGATCCAGGCTGGCGCCCAGCCAGACAGCAGGGCAAGGCCTCCCCCAGCCAGGCAAAGAGTTTTCAGCAGCTGGGGTCCATTAGGGTGGAGCCGAGGCTGTGGACACTCAGATGCAGGGGCAGAACTCCGCCGGGGTGCCCATGCACACGGCAGGCACATGGTTGACCTGGATGCCCAGGGGACAGGGACTCCCCAGGGAGCCGCCCCGTGAGCAGCGCTTCAGTTGATCGGGGGGCCGCTGTCAGCTCTCGGTCAGTCCAGGCGCTCTCTGAGGCTTCTCTGCCTTGACTTCCTGCCCCCACTTCTGCCCCAGCACCACCAGCCATGCGGGAGTCAGGCTGCGTCTCTGTCGTGTCCTCTACCTGACCCGAGTCTGCTTCCTCTTCCCCACTCTGTCCCCGACCCTGCAGGGCTCCTTCCCTGGTGACCAGGGTGACGCCGGGTGGCAGACAGCCCCTGATAGCAAGTCACAACTGCACTTTCTAAAGCCATGTGGAGAAAAGAGTCCCTGCAGGTGGCGAACCTGGCGCCTCCTGAGACTTCAGGGAGGAAGCGGCTCCAACGGCCGGCAACACCCACAGGGTCCAAAGGGAAGGGCCCCGTGGCCAGAGGAAGACGCAGCAGCAGTCATAAACACAAGCAAACGTCCCGGGCCCACGCTGCATACTCAAGTAACCGAACGCGTAATGAAGTGGAGGGGAAGGGAGGTCTCCCGGAGAAGGGTTCTAATTAATGAACGTAGGACGGAGGGGGATGAAATATCGCAGCTAGAAGACCGCAGAAATCACCGCTGCCAGCGACATCTGCCGCTGGTGCTCAAATTAATGAAGGGAAGGCGGAGCAGGAGCAAGGTATTTGCATAGTCGTGAAGCATCGCCCTCCAGATATTTATTAATTTCAAAAGAAAAATAGCAACTTTCTGGGGCAGAAGGGA